GGAGTGAGTCTGTGTCCTACTTCCAGCAAGCCATTTATCTCCTTAGCACCTTAAGCCGCGACCTGATTGACAGGCTAAATCCACCCCTTCACTCTTAAGTCTCAAATTGACAACAGATTATGTAATGACCACACGTTTGTATTTGCCTTCTCATGCCTCCTATGCACGAGAAACTTGGATATTGCATATGGAAGGCTGAAGAAAAATCTATGCGTTTGAATTGTGGTGCTGGAGCAGAACATCGAATGTACCATGGACTGCTGAAAGGACAAACACATTTGTCTTGGAAGAAGTACTGTCAGATGCTCCTTGGAGGCAAGAATGGTGAGATCTTGTCTCGCACGCTTTGGACATGTCAGGAGAGACCAGTTTCTAGAGAAGGACCTTATGCCTGGTAAAGTGGAGGGGCAGCAAAAAAGACGAAGGTCCTCCAGGAGATGGACTGACTCTGTGGCTGCAACAATGGGCTCACGCACAGGGACGTTTGTAAGGAAGGCCCAGGACTGAGCAGTGTTTTGTTCTATTGTGCGTAATGTCACTGTGGGTTGGAACCGACTCTATGGCACCTCACAACAACAACAACAACAACAACAACAACAACAACAACAACAAGTCTGAATTGACTGGACAGCACACAACAGTCAAATATAAACTGTTTTTGTCTCACAGAGCCCTGAGCAAACTCCTACTGAGTTGTAAGACTGGCCAAGAGGTTTATTTGGTGGTTGCTTTTGTGGTTGTTGCTTTCTGCCACTGATTGGCTCCAACCCGGTGCACAACAGAATTAAACACTGCACGGTCCTGCACCATCCTCACAATGTTGCCATGGGTGAGCCCGTTGATGCAGCCACGGTGTCCATCCATCTTGTTGAGGGTCTTCCTCTTTTTTGCCACCCTTCCACTTTACCAAACACGATGCCCTTCTCCAGGGATTGGTCTCACCTGCTAACCCATCCAAAGTATTAAGGTGAATTCTTGCCATCCATTGTCTCTAAGGAGCACTCTGGCCTTACTGCTTCCGTTACAGATTGGTTTGAACTTTCCACAGTTCATGGTACTTTCAAAATTCTCCAGCACCATAATTCAAATTCATAGATTCGTCTGTTCTTGATTCACCGTCCAACTTTCACATGCATGTGATGCATGGAGAATACCATGGATTGGGTCAGGCACACCCTAGTCCTCCAAGTAGCCTACTTGCTTTTCAATACTCTAAAGAGGTCTTTTGTGGGATCC